CTTTGTTTATATTTTACTTTTTGATTGGGAACTAAGTAAGCATAATATAGTGAGTTTCAAGACTTCATGGTTCTAGTTTATCAGGCAGTGAATAAAAATTGCTCTGATCCATGGAATCATATCAACAACTTCATGGGAAGTTTTTCCAGTTTTTCTGGAGGTTTTAACATTTTTCTTTCTTCAGTATGAATGGCTTTTAAATGGCAGGCCATTGATGAAAGCTCACCGTTTTGTGCTTAGCCATGATTTCGGGTTTATTGCACTCAATATTTTGTATATGTATCCCGAAGATAGTGGTACATATACCCTAATTGTGAAAAATGCAGCTGGCGAAGCACGATCTGTTGCTGATATCGATTGTAAGGCTAAAGGAAGCATGGTTTGTATTTTGCTATCTTAAAATGATTAGTTTTTGTTCAGAAATTTATTTAGTCCTGGTTAATTTTTCCATTGCGAGAAGTTGCGTCCGAAATATTGAGTCTCATTTCAAGTTTTTTTTATATTTTGATATTAATTCGGGGCACCAGAAGGAAATTTTTTCATTCAGTATATTCGATAATTGGCGGAAATGTTCATTCGTATAAATAGATTTACGTGGAACTGATTCTTATTCTTGGCTAGATTGCAAGGTGTTTTGGAATTTCAAAATTGTAAGATATTTTGAAATTTCAAACTTTTTTAATGCTAAACCACTTTCGCAGTTCAATTTTTCAGATAACGGAATCCTTTCATCCTAATTCAGTACAACGTATTCGTGAACTAGAAATGCCGTTGCAGTCACCAGATGAGCGTCCGGAAGCACCACGAATGGCACCACGAATTACACGAATTCTACCGCCGCAACTAGAGAATATACATGAAAGTCAAACACTCCATTTAGAAGCACAAATTTTGCCTGTCGATGATAATCAGCTTAAAGTAAGTTATACATCTTTGCAGACAGAGCAGTGGCAGAACTATGAATTACTTGGACAGACAGATTTCTGTCAATGAAGTAGAAGGATTAGATTAAAAAGTCTAATCGACGGGAGATCATTAATTCGACATCAACAGATAAATTCAGTTTTGAAGCGCAGAAAGCCTGTGTACCATGCAGGAGTAGCCTGTTGCTTCGTGGTATAATCAGGGTAGTGATTTTGTCTTGCTATTCTGGCTCTCAGGACTGCATTGAACGTTTATTTGTGTGCTTCAGAAAAAAAATAGCAAGTAGAAACATTGCGGGATTTTCAAAAAATTAAAAATGCTCAGGTTGAGTGGCTTCATAACGGACATCCATTGAAAGCCAGTAGTCGATATCGCTTGATGAATGATTTCGGCTTTGTATCTTTGGATATTGATTATGTTATCGCTGAAGATGCTGGGACGTATACATTACTTGTTACAAACTCTGAAGGTGATTCTTCGTTTACTGTGATTATTGTTTCAGGAAGCAACATCAGTATTCTTATGCATCACAGTGCTTATTCTAAATAGGAAGAAAAATCCGGAGTTGGGATCAAGCTGGGTTCAGGTTGGGAAACGACTGGATTAAAAGGAAAATAGTTTAAAGAAACTGGAGATCCCCCAGATACCTCTGCTGTGAAATTTTTGGATGCTTTATATAGATCAGTTCAGTTTGACAAAACGAACACGAAAAGTATTCTAGTTTTCTGCTATAGGTCGTGCGGAGACAAGCACACAATTCCATGTAGAACGACTGAAAAATATTTACATGGATACCGAACATCCTGAAAGTTTACGAAGGATCCAAGAAATTGAAGCAATACAACCAGCGAAGCCATCTGAAGAAGAATTGATGCCTGAGAAGCCATCTTTCACTCAACCATTGAACGGTCCTAAGGAAGTTCTTAGAGAAGGACAGTCAGTGCACATGGATTGTATGGTGCAGCCAATTAACGATCCTAATTTGAAGGTAATATTATTATTATCTTTTGGGAAAAATCTGCACGAGTTGCTATATCGAGATGCTCAAATCAGTTAAATTTGGCTGGTTTTAGGAAGTCAACCTATGTTATTTACAGTTATATATATAAATACAACATGTTTTGGATATATATATATATATATAGCATGTTTTGAAAATTTCTGCATTTTCTTTTCCAAATCAGGCATGGAAATCTTTTTTTTGCATGAAAATCTGGGTTTTTTCTCGATTTTTTTCAGATGAAAATTCTGGATTATTTGTGCAAAACCACATTTTACTTTCGTATATACTTTGCAGATTGAATGGTTTCTCAATGGTTATCCAATCATGTTTGGATCGCGTATTCGAACTATGCATGACTTTGGTTATGTAGGCCTTGAATTCCTCCACATTCATCCTGAAGATTCGGGCACTTACACATGCAAAGCTAGCAATGCAGCTGGGGAAGCAACTACTGAATTCTTCATCGAATGTAAACGTAGGTATTACTGAAATTAGTAATATCACATGAGTGGAAATGCAGTGTATGCATTTTGTTTATTGTACTTCATAGATGCAACAAAGAAATGTGACTTTTGACTTTTGTGTTCGAAAAGAAATTTCTCATGACTAAAACCTAGATGCTTATGGCTATATTCTGCAGCACGAAGAAATATCTATCTTGATACTCAGCATGCAGAATCATGGGCAAAAATACAGGAGATGGAGAATTATGAACCACCACGTGAACCATCACCTGAGCTTTCATTTCCACCGCCAACTTTCACTGTACCTCTACAAGTGGGCTATTACATTTTATAGAGTATTATTTTTCACTTTGAATTCTCCTGATCATTCAAATAAATTTCATGAAAATTGATGCTTGCGATGTTTTGCAGAATTTTGACGGTATCGTTGATGGTGAAAGTGTTCGATTAGAATGTAGGCTACAACCAATTAATGATCCAACATTAAAAGTATATTGGACCAAAAATGGATTACCATTACCGGAAGGTCAGTTATCTAATTTTAAGGGAAATGCAGTTAACATTTAAAGTGTGCGTTTATTTTAGAATCGTTGAATGAACAGTGTTCTTAAGAAAACATTACTGAAGGTGATGTTGTAAACTTTCAGTTTTTTATTTCCGATGAAATGAATTTTTATTCAAAGGAAGTTTGGACAAACATGTTTTAAATTATAAAACGTAGTGTTGTTGTTTAGGCGATTAATTGTTAGTGACGATTTGGTTCATCTGAAATCTTTTTTGCTGTCGTTTTTAATCGCCTAAATTTTCTTCTGCATTAAAATTAAAGTAATGCTTTCAGGAAGTCGCTTCATGCCGGCACGTAATCTGGATTATGTGACGCTGGATTTGCTGGCTGTGTATGGCGAAGATTCAGGAATGTATTCATGCCGAGCAGTTAGCGAATTTGGGGAAGCAACAACATCATGCACCGTCACATGCCAGCGTTTGTTGTTATTTGCTTAATGTGTGTGTAGAATAGTTTGCTAAATTCACATTTGAATGCTCTAAGAAATATATATTTAGCAACGGAATCCCTGCTTTTGGATACTCAACATCAAGAATCTTGGAATCAAATTCAAGACATAGAAAATCGTCGTCCCCAAGAACCAATTTACTTTGAACCAGAAAAAATACCACCACGATTTATCGTGGCTCTGCCAGCGCAAATTGGTGAATTCACTGAAGGTGAACCTATTCATCTGGAGGGACAGGTTGGTTTCATTAAACTTAATTGTAGTGGATCTGTTTCTGAAAAGATAACATATATTCGTATGCAGATCTTCACTGACGGAATTAGTATAGGAAGATGAAATGATCTGGTTTTTTTTCTTTTCTGTGTTTATTCTTAGCATATAACTACTATTTTTCCTGTATAACACTCGAAACGACTTAGTTAAATTTCATTTGAGTCGGAATATACATTTTTCTCGAGGATTTTAAACGAGTATTTCATTAATCATTTTTTTGGAAGTCGCCGATTTCAATAATCAGACCGATCTGGACGTTGGACTTAAAATTGTTTTTCAACTTAAGATTTTTCAGATAGAACCTACAAGCGATAGTGAACTTACAGTAGAGTGGTATCAAAATGGACAACCACTCGCAAATGGACATCGTTTTCGGAAAACACACGATTTCGGATATGTTTCATTGGATATTCTCTATGCTTTTCCTGAAGATAGCGGAGAGTGGGCATGCATAGCGAGTAATAGTTTAGGTAAGTTCCTTTCCGATGTCTATTAAATAATTTTTAGAATTTAACTGTCTAATTTGAAAATCTGTATTCAAAGAAGTCTGAAATTTAAAGTTTTTCAGGAGATGTCTTATGCGTCTTGTTTTTTTTATTAATGGCCATCATATTTGGTCATAAAAAATTTTAATTGTAGGAGATGCTCAATCAACAACAGTATTCAAAGTTATCGGCAAGACAGTAATCAACAGTGAAAGCCAGCATCCAGAAAGCCTGCAAAGAATTAGAGAAATTGAAGCACCAAAGGAACTAGCACCAGAAACACCGGAATTAAAACCTTTGGCACCTCAATTTATACAGCCACTGCAATCCATCGAGAGGATCGAAGGCCAGCCCGCACACTTTGAAACGAGGTTTTGCTTTTTTCCATACAAGATCAAGCTTAAATGTAGACTGAAATTTGCAGATTTCTAGTTACACGAAATAAGTTCTAACATTCTCCTGCGAACCTTTACAAAAAGATTTGCATCTATTTTTTAAGTCATTCAGAGTAAGTGGTCATGAATTTGCGTATGCACACGACATCTGATTTTAATATTATTTAATCTCATTCGAAAGGATCGAAGGTCAGCCCCCGTACACTTTGCTTACAGAAATTTTCCAGTTACTCAACATTCTAGGGTAACACCAATCAGCGATCCGAAGATGAGAATACAGTGGTTCAAAGACGGTGTTCCTCTACTGAACAGTAATCGATTCCACCACACATCTGATTTTGGATTCATCGGATTCGATATTTCATATACTGTTCCAGAAGATACTGGTTTATACACGGTTGTAGCAACAAATGAACAAGGACAGGATCAAGCAGAAGGACAGCTTTATGTTGAGACCAGATCAGGTTTGAGATGCAATTTCTAATAAAATTTCCAGAAAAAGAACTGAAATATGTAGGTGATGATGTTCGAGCTGGAAAGTTCAAAATTTTTCAAATTGAGTAGAAACTATTATATTCAGCCATTCTTGGTGATACGCAGCATGAGAGTAGTTGGCAAAAGATACAAGTACTGGAACAACCGAAAAAGAGGCCTGAAGAGGCTCCGGAATCTAAATATGGGCCACCTCATTTCACTCGACAGTTAAATTCCAATGAAAATCTTATCGAAGGACAACCGGCACACTTTGAAGCACAATATGAACCAATTAATGATCCACAATTGGCAATTTTATGGTAAGTTTGGAAGCGAAATATGAGATTACCATAAACTCCGATAACTTTTAAATGCCATATTGCGAAGACAATTGATGCAAAGTGACTTTGCTTAATCCAAAATATTTCGACGCTACTCTCAGGTTCTGTGAGAATTCTGACCATTCAATGCCGAATGATGTTGGGGAACGGAAGATTGAGAATTTTAGGAGTTACTTACTTTTTTCATTTTAGTCTAATTAGTTTTGTGTTCTCGGTATCTTCCCGCAAACTAAATTTTTATGTATTTTGAATTAAATTATGAAAAACCTTTAACTCTTTTTTAGGTTTCATAATGGTCGACCACTATCTGCTGGTAGCCGTATTTCAATGAGAAACGAATTTGGCTTGGTAACCCTCGACATACATTATGTCTTGCCGGAAGATATTGGTGAATTCCGTTGCTTGGCAAGAAATGCAGCAGGCGAGGACCGGACATCTGGTAATTTGCAGTGTCAGACTCGAGCAAGCGTCCTCGCGGAAGTACAACATCCTGAAAGCTGGAAAAGAATTCAAGTACGATATTCCACTCAAAATAAGTTATTACTTACACTGAAGAGATTGGTGAATACTGGTGAATGTCAAACATTAAAGGATCTTGAATATCATATCATCCTGTTGATTTTAGGAAATTGAAGCACCCAAGGCTGTGCCTACTGCTCCAGAATCGGCAGTTTATGCAAAACCGACTTTCACGCAACCCTTGAAAAGTATGGCTGATGTACCAGAAGGGAGTGCTGTTCTTTTCGAAGCAAGAGTTATACCCGTTAATGATCCCAAATTACAAATTCAATGGTAAATTTCACTTTTTTAGCTTTGATACTGCTTATAATACAAAATACTAGATTTTATGAAATTTTTTGATAGAATGAAAAAAAGCGAAAAGATTATGAATAATTCACTTTGTACATTTCATTCTTCACAGTTCATTCAAAGGAATCGATGATTTTCAGTTTTCAACTTTAATGTCTTTAGGTTCCATAATGAGGCTCCATTGCAACAGAGTAGCTGGCACACAATGACCAATGATTTTGGATGTGTCACTTTGCGCATTTCACCTGTTTATCCACATCACTCAGGTGTCTACTCGTGTAAAGCAGTAAATGAACAAGGAGCAGCTGTGACAAGCGCAAATCTCTCTATCTTGGGTATTTGTTTTAAGTTCATGTTTGAGATTAAAATGGAACGAAAGTTCTCTTGTCATAGTAAGTGTAAATAATGTATCCAGTTCAAACTTGGGGTCTTCATTTCAGGTGCGGATAGTTTGGTAATGGACACTCAGCATCCAGATTCCTTGAAAAGAATTCAAGAATTGGAGTCGATCGATAAAAACGTTCGCTTGGAAGTACCCGAACCAGAGTTCGGCAAACCAAATTGGATCAAAGCCTTTGATAACATTGACAACTTGCAAGAGGGTGAAATTGTGCATTTGGTTGGATATGTGGAACCAATTGGTGATCCTCATTTGAAAATCGAATGGTACCTGAATGGCGCTTCCTTGAAAAATTGTAAATTTTTTAAAATTTACTTAATGTTTCATTTCCCGTACTGGTTTTTGGAAAGTTATCGTTATCGTTACTTTTCGATATTATAAGAAGTGAAGTTGAAGAATTTAAACTATTCGCCACTTCTCGTTTTCTTGAATTTTTCGGCCTCCTTTACGACCGTTTTATTGCATTTTTTGGAATTTACAGCAAATCGATATCGTCATGAAAATGATTTCGGAAATGTTACGCTGACAATCGTCCATGTTCTTCCGGAAGATTCTGGAGTATACACATGCAAAGCTATAAATAAGCAGGGTGAAGCTACTACTAGTGCTACAGTGAAAGTTGCTGGTTAGTTTTTATTGTTACCTTTAAATGTTTAATGTTTCAATCCTTCAGAAAGCAGTAGTGTTTTTAACAGAATCTTTAAACAATTTTTTTTTTTTGCTTTTGCTGTAAATGCAAATTAACTTATTTGTTTCTCCTTGTAAGAACAATAAAAATCAGGTCATTTATGTTAAGGTTACGAATCGATTGTGCGTGATACTCAGCATCCTGTATCTTGGGAAAAGATCCAGATTCTTGAAATACCGACAGTAGTTGAAGAAATTGAGGAAGTGGTAGAAAAAGAGAAACCGCGCTTCCTCACGCAACTTGAATCGGCAACTGATATTCCTGAAGGTGCAGTCGTGCATCTGGAAGCAACATTCCAACCCGCCCGTGATCCAGATCTTAAGGTTTCATTCTATTTTCATTTTTTGTGCAGCAAAAAAAAACACCAAAAATGTCGAAACTTCTCCATTAAATTCTTTGCGCTTAAATGTCGATCTGGTGTCAACTTATTATCGAGTTATGTGAAATTTTTCCACGAATTTGGAAATTACATTCGTTATTTCATAAAAATTATTGAATAGATCTGACTGTATTCTAATCATTTTTGATAATTGTTAAGGCAATCTGGCTACGCAATGGGCAACCGCTTGGTGCCAGTCAACTTGTGAAAACAAGAAGCGAACTAGGTTGGGCAGCCCTAGACATCGGTGGTGTTAATCCAGATCATAATGGTATTTACACCCTTAAGATTATAAACAGTGAGGGCGAAGCAGCTTCATCTGCATCTATTAAGGTTATTACAAAGTTTGATCACAAAATTTTGTGAAGTATTTGAAAACTTAATTATCCTGTTATTCCTTATTCTCATCATGTGCATACTATAACATTTAATTTGATTACTTTGTCTTTTGTAGTCGCAATGTAAGCACAAATTATTGTTATGAACAGAATATTTAATTTTAGGTCGCTGGTATTGGTGACATTTTGCTGGATACTGCGCATGAAGAATCATGGCGTAGAATCCAAGAAATTGAAGCGCCAAAGGAAAAGGCACCGGGTAAGCAAGACTAGCTGTGATACAAGTTTTGCACCTTTGTCGAATCCCGAAATTCCATCTGGAAAAAAGACTCATATATTTCAATACTAATTCCTTAATATTGAAATACACGAGTCTTCTCCTACATGTGCCTTTTTCTTTGAAGGAAACCTAACTGATTTAGAACTTCCTAGCTTTTAGATGCTTAAAAATTTTTCTGTGAATTCTGTTACCATTAATCGGCAGCATTTCATTTTATCTGTTGGTGATTGTCGTGGCATTGCAGAATCACCACCACCAGTTTATGAAGCTCCATCATTTCACGAGCAAATTTCGGATGTTGAATGTGGTGAAGGTGAACCATCGCGCTTCGAGGCGGTCATTGTACCAACTAATGACCCCAATTTGCAAGTTACTTGGTTTCGAAATGGCCAGCCGCTGGCACATGGTTCGAAATATGCAATTTCGCGGGACTTCGGTTTTTGTACTTTGGATATCGGCTATACATATCCTGAAGATCAGGTATGACTTATATCTTGGTGATCAAGTGTGACTTATTTTTCCAGACATCAGTAGTGATGAAAGTAAGAGCGAAATCGGCTATTACTATCACGACAGAGGCATCGCTGTTGTTTTGCTAGGCATGATTTGAATCTTTCGGAAATGAAAGTTTTTTTCTTTTCGAATTAATTGCTTTACATTTCATTTTTTTAAAATATAGGGTGTGTATCAATTACGCTTAACAAACGAAAATGGTGAGGCAGTTTCCAGTGCTACATTGAAATGTCATCCAAAAGATGCAGTATATGGGGATACCCAGCATGTAGAGTCATGGAAACGAATACAGGTTATTCTACCAAACATTCATTTTGCGTCTTTTCTGAATTTCAGTTTTTCGTAATTAACTACTGAATATGTGTTATGATGCTCTAAATTTAGGAATTGGAAGCACCGAAAGCACCGAGACCCGAAATGCCTCCATCTCCTAAAACATTACCTAGATTTCTTACGCATATCCAGAGCCCTGGAGGCGATTTGTATGAAGGACAGCCAGCTCACTTTGAAGCTACTGTAGAGCCAATAGATGATCCTGATCTCAAAATACAATGGTGAATATATTTTTGAAATAAATGCAATTTTGTTCCTTCGGAAACCTGTTAGTAACCTGGCATGAGTATTTTTGTCTTCTTGGAAATTTTTCCGTATATAGGATTTTCGACAAAGTTGTATTTATTTGTTCTACCTATTCAGGTTCTTGAATGGAAACCCGATATCGGCAAGCTCAAGGATAAAGATGATTAACGATTTTGGTTGGATTATCATGGATATAAGCGCAGCGGAGTCACGGGACAGTGGCGAATGGACATGCGTCGTGTCGAATGAAGTGGGCGAAGCGAAAAGTTCTGCATCTGTTAATGTTTTAAGCAAAGAAAGTATCGTTTTTGACTCGATGCAACCGCAGAGTCTTGAGAGGATTATGGAAATGGAAGCTGAGAAACCAGTTCCTGATGAAGCTCCACCGAAAGTTAGTTTTAAAGACTAATTATTAGTCAACAAAGAGTTGAATAATAAGAATCATCAATATTCATTTTTCAAACATATAACACTGAGAGACAATGACAGCAGGTAGTAGTAAGCCGAAAACTTTCAATTATAATTTAGTCAGTTATGGATCTCATTGATTTCAGCTTAAAAATCTTCAAGGATTCTTTATTTTCAGATCTTCGGTCCGCCACAAATTGCTATTCATCTAAAGAAACCAGAAGGTCTTACCGAGGGTGACAGCACTCACTTAGAAGCTCAGTTTACACCAGTTGATGATCCAAGTCTCAAAGTAGAATGGTTCCGTGATGCCAAACCCTTGTTTCATGCAAATCGATATAAGATGGTGCAGGACTTTGGCTTTGCAATACTTGATATCTTACATCTTTTTGCGCAGGTTTCACTTTTTGTTCTCTCATATCCTTTACCACAAATATAGATATTCAACATCCGAATTTAAAACTGCATTAAAATATCGAAACGAATTTGTATTACTATCCTATCATACCCTGCTTACAATTTGACTTAAAGCTGCGACCAGAAAATTTTTTCTTTAAATTAATAGTTGTATTCGTGCCATTTGCGTTCTTTAGGAATATTAACACCTAAAATAATATAATGTGGAGTATAATTTTAGACTAATTTCTGTTGCCGTTCCAGGATGCTGGTGAATACACTGTGAAAATTATTAATTCTGCTGGTGAAGCGAGCTCATCAACTGTTTTAGAAATTGCATCAAAAGAGACTCTCCTACTACAACCTCAGGTGACCTAGACCTATAGATTTGTTATCAAATCGAAGCTAAATTGTCTTTAAAAATGCATTCTGAATAATTACGATGGGAAACCGAATAACTTCTTAATCGAATTATAAAGATTTGAAAGCGAAATTTGTAAAATTTATTTCATTTATCGCAGGAAGTTTGCTTATATTAGTATATAAACTTTTATTAAACTGCTCTCTTGCGAAAGGATTGTAACTACTGCTATATTGCTAGCAATCTGATAAATGCCGCTTATATTCAGTATATACTTCCTCTGAATAAGTATATATACCCTTTTTAGTGTAAATACCCTTTATAATTTATGACGACTTTGTCTGTTTGTTATATATACTTGAAGATATGTGTTGATATTTTTTTTCTTTGTGCAGGATGAAGGTAAGGCAAAAGCAATTGAACGGCTTGAATATAATCTGCATTTGAAACCAGAAGAGAAAGCTGCAGAAGAGCAAAAAACTGTTCCCGTATTTATTGAACCTCTTTCTGCTCCTGTCGTTTGTGAGGAAGGAGATCGTGTTCATTTCACTGCTCGATATGAACCACTAAATGATAATCAATTGCAGGTTCTTTTCATTAAATGTCTTCCTTTAAATATTTTTTAAAATATCATTTTAGTAATTTTTCAGTTCCTTCCTAACAGAATTAAGAACATATGGAGTGTGACGATACATTGCTTCGTATAGTTTATATCTTGATTTTTTCCCAACACTTCTAATTTGAGTTGATTCAAACTTCCTTTCCAGATCCAGTGGTACCTGAATGAAAAACCGCTAAAGACGGGAAGTCGTGTCAAAACAATCAGTGATTTTGGTTTTGTTGTCTTGGAAATATCGCCATCATATCCTGAAGATTCGGGTGAATATACATGCCGTGCCATTAACAAGGTTAAAACATCTTCGAACTGCAGAATCACTGATTAATTATTTCGATTCTCGGCCTACTAATCAAGCCCTTAAATGTCAAAAATTTCAGGTTGGTGAGGCGGTAACCAGCACACAGCTGAAATGTAACTCGAAGCAGAAGATTATCACGAAGTCGCAACTCCCAGATAGTATGTCTGGCGCTTACAAGAAAATCGCTGAAATTGAGGCGCCAAAAGCACCGGTTCCTGAGAAGCCTGAGTTTGATTATGAAGCACCAAAGTTCTTAACCCAGTTACAGGTTTGGATTTACTTGATCTCGAAAAATTCGTTCTAGTAAATGCTTTTGTTGGTTTTTGGAAATTGGTATACTTTGGTTGGAATACTATATTGGTAAATTGGTATACTGTCATAAAATCTGTTTCCATAAAATTGTTTTTCTGTTCAAAGCTATAATTTTTCTTGCAGTCGTTGACAAATTTATCGGAAGGACAGCTGGCGCATTTGGAAGCACGAGTGGAACCAATAGGTGATCCGAGCTTAAAAATTGAATGGCTCCATAATGGACAGCCCGTTGGACATACAGCTCGTATGAAAGCAATCCATGATTTTGGCTTTGTGGTTCTAGAATTGATACCTGCAGAACCACAAGATTCGGGCAAATGGGTATGTCGTGCAAGCAACAGGAAAGGACAAGCTGAAACATCATGTGATATGCAGGTAAAGTCTAAAGTTATGATTTCTATTATATGCATTCATTACTTTCATCATCTGTCGCTACGATCTTCTATAGACATTTAAATTGATATCTTCATCTTCTAGAGAGGAATGTGGATGACTTTCGCGAAAAGAATCCACTTTATATAAGTGAATAGTCGGTAATTCCAGGTCAGAGGTATGGGTGGTATTGTTTCTGATTGGCAGAGTACTGCTGAAGGCAAAGATCGTATTGAAAAACTAGAAGAATATATCCATCGGCCAAGAGATGAATTGGATCAACCAATCAGAGAGTTTGATGCACCGTACTTTACCCAAAACCTCATTGATCTTGGTCAGGTAATGGAATTAATGTAATAACGTTATGAAGCTTCTTTATTACAATATAAATTTCATTGCAACTTTAAAATTTTACAATATGTTTTTCTATAATTGTCATTCGGAAATTTTGTACGTAGGAACTGTGGGATTTTAATGTGACTTTTTAATATAAACTACATTTTAAAGACTGGGTAGGTTAGGGAACCTGATTTCACGCTCTGTTCAAACTGTAAATCTGCATTTCCAGACTTTTAGAGTAGTGCAAGTGGTTTTTCTGCTCCCAACTTGAAACTTGCTTTTGTACGATTTAACAACTCATTTTAAGTTGTCAGGTGCTCTGTATGTGGTAATTCTAGATGAATGAAGCAGAGGCAACGGCTTTTACTTGTGTGTTGCAACCAATTGGTGACCCGTCACTTCGTATCGAATGGCTTCATAATGGGCATTCTATACCCTATTCAAATAGGATACATATGTCAAACGATTTTGGTGTTGCCACATTGCTGATTAAGCATTTGATAACCGAGGATAGCGGAGAATACAAGTATGGATACAGAAGATTGATTTGCTATCTACTCATATTTTAATATTTGTGCTTCAAAGATACAATTTAGTGATCCTGATCTGGATGTTTTATTGATCTCTGCATCCTGTCGTTATTGGATCGTGTACAGGGACCCCGGAATTTACACTGAATTTTTCAGGTGTATAGCTTATAATTCTAAAGGAAAAGCAGAAAGTGTTGGTCATATAGAAGTTGCATCCGTCATTCAGATTGATGCACCACAAATAATTCAACCTCTCGTTGAAAACATTGATGGAGTTGAGGTATTGTTTCTTTGTTGGACGAACGAACATTTCTATGGATGATTTATGTTCAAAAATGGGACCGACAATTCGATAAACAATGTGAAACCACGGTATCCGAGAAAAAAAAAATCTGGTTCATTACAGCAAGGTGACTCTGTCCACATGGAATGTCGTGTTTCGCCGATCAATGATTCAAAATTGACAATTAACTGGTTGAAAGATGGCAAACCACTCGCGGAAGCTTCCCGTTTCAAGCCATCATGCGAATTCGGTTTCGTGACGTTGGATATTCTCTATGCACTTCCGGAAGACAGTGGCGTTTATGAGTGTGTTGCTATGAATGATAAAGGCGAAGCATCCACTAGAACTCATGTCACGGTAGCGACTCCTAAATTATAATTTTTTCAAGTTAAATCTGTTCAGGAGAACCTTATAATTTCGCCGTACTTGGAAAACTTTTTTTTGTTTTCAGGTTACAAAAATTCAGCTATCTTAGGCGGATGAAATTCGATTAATTTTTGGTTTGAATTCAGGTCTTTTCAAAACCAAGTGTAGAATTTGCGCCGCAAGCACCTGGGGCCAATATGGAAAATCTCGAGAATCACTTACGTCAGCATACCCGTGTTGCTTTGGCACTTACCAAAGAGGATGCTTACAATGAGGCTACAAAGCGACCGCCTGAATTTAAAACTAACTTAACGAATATTGGTGTTGAGGAGAGTGACTACTGTCGCTTCGAAACACAAGTTGCACCGATTAATGACCCCTATATGAAAATCGAGTGGTTTAAAGATGGAAAGCCGGTTTTGATTGGTAATTCTTTTTTGTAAGCAAGATCCTGAAATTTTGGCTTTAAATTGTTATTCTCTTCAAAAGTGATTGTCGAGCAGATAAAATTTAAAATTTTAAAATAATGCGAAGCCAAAATAGATAATCGGGGTTTCGTATTTTTTGTTGATTCTGATGCAAAATTCCATCGTTTAATGGTATATCTTTAGAGATTTTTTTCTCTTCAGCTCCCGTTTAAAAAAAAAACTTGTAGGACATCGATTCCGCTCGATGCTAGATTTTGGATTCGCATGTTTAGATGTCCTCTACGCATTACCCGATGATACTGGTGAATATACTTGTGTTGCTACGAATCCTTATGGGAAGGCAACAACATCAGCGAAATTGGCTTGCTCTGGTTCTAAACACATTATCACCGAAAGCCAACTTCCGCAGGGTGTCCTAGTTTCTGATGTCAAGAAACTCGGTGATCAGCCGTATTGGTTTGCTTTTGCTTTTGCTTTTTCCTTTTTTTTTCAGGTGTTTGATATCACCGTGTATATCTTTCTAGTTGAAACCCACGAAAAACCGGTTACAGTTTTTATAATCGTTGACAGTTTCTAAGCAGAATAATGCTGAAAACTATCCTTTTGGTACATGATAAGCTTTTATCGTACTGTTTTAATGTTGCTAGTTACTTTACATGTGATTGTAGGTACGATGGACATTCAGAACAGAAATGAATATCTTTCAGTATTCTAAAAGATATTTTTTAGCATAACGAAATGTTAGATGTATTTTGCGCCTTCAATACCATAAGGTGATGCTTATCACCGACGGATCCGCATTTCAAATTTTTAAATGATTAAGGTCCGAACAAATGAGCGAACAGCGGCGTGAGAAACAACCACCGAGATTTACAATCAAACCTATGAATATACAGGCAGTAGAAAATGAACCTGCCAGATTTGAATGTGCAGTAATCGGTAATCCGAAACCGAAAGTTATTTGGTATATAAACGGAAATCAAGCCATACATGTAAGCTTATATATTTTAGATTATTAAGTCCTCTTCGCATATTTCGTTTTCTCAGTTTTTATGTGCTAGTCATTCTAAGTTCTTATCAGCTAGTCAGATTATAGCTGGATCATTTTGTCGTTTTGCGCGATTGACATATCCTACATATCTAATTCTGAATTAACTTATAAGAACTTTATTCAAATTTTCTTTAACTTTATTCACACATCAGACCGTTTTTTGGTTAATACTTGTATTCGTGCTTCTCCAATTTCACTGAAATTGCTTTAGATATACTTTTGAAAAAATAATGGTAATTTTTTTAAATCTATTTTTAGGGGAGCAGATATAAGCTGCATTATGATGGAATCTACTATTTGACAATTTCTAAGACGAAAATATCAGATGCTGGTGAAGTAAGTTTTCCCAATTTTCAGTTTTTTGAGTGACTGACTTATTTTCATCAAAAAAGTCCACACTGATGCTGTAAGTGTATGGTCGAATATTTATAGATCGTTGCAATTGCGAAAAACTCGGAGGGTGAGGTACTTGCTTCCGCTATGCTAGACGTTTATCAGACCAAGGACTTCCGACATATCAAGCTAAAACCGACGTCGTTTATGACCATAGACGAACTGCACGAGAGGGAATTCAGATGGCAGAAGGTTACAGTGAAATTGAACTTTTCTAATTAATCTATTTTTTCGGTAAAGTCCTACCCCAAATACTCTAATGAAATGAAAGATCTACCTGTTACAAATGGTGAGCGAAAAAGGATCTCGGACGATCTCTCATTCACAGTTTTCGAAATTTTCAGGAAGTTCTAGGCTCTCTTGGCGAAGCATTTGAGAAAGCACCAAAGGCTGACCAGCAAAAATTGATGAGGATTGAACGGTCGAAGACACCTACTGAACCTCTGGAAAGTGAAGAACTTATCGAGAAGTTTACCAGACCTAAGGACGAACAGTTCTACAATCAGCTCACTTATGTAAATTTCCAGAAAAATAAAAATCCGTTGAACTTATATAAATATACAACTTTAAGATTTTTACTGTTGCTCATTTAGGTTTTCCAGGTGTTGGAAGAAATGAATTTTGACGAATTGACTTTGTAATTTGTATATCATATTGAAATATGAAAGTAATTTCAAGATAGTATCGATTCATGGGCAAGCATATGTCTCAGAGAATTAATTATTATATTTTCACTCTAGGAGAGGTTGAATCATTAGCAGTAAAGTCTGGAGATGGAGTGAGCACAAGATTTAGAACGTTTACTTCGTGTACTTCTTTTGCATATACAGTTGTTAGTGCCTGAAGTTGCACTCCCCCCCCCCCCGTTATGAATGCACTGATTAACCGGGCAGCCTTTGGTCACTTCTAGCAAATGCGAACTTTTTGCATTAATGTTTAATGATAAATGTAAAATTTTATACAGATTGAGACAACTCGTCCAACCTTTGAAAGCATGAAGTTGGAAGACATAACATTAAAACCAGGACATATCGAGAAATATGAGCCAGCGAAGGAAAAGATGGAACGAGTGGAACTAAGAGCAGCTCCTAAAGTGGAAAAGGAAGTAGCACTTGCAGGCTCTAGTGTATCAAAGCCGCAATGGGCAGTCGAAAAAAAGCTTGGCAACGTTGAGTCACGGTTTGAATTTGACGCAGTTGCAGAAAGTTCAAGTTACTTGACTGAAATTTTGAATCTGATTCAGATTTATTTGTAGCTATCGGGTTTGAAAAGAAGTGTAACCAAGAGTCTGCTTAATTTATTTGAAAGATTCATGCATGAAAAATTTTTTCTGTCTAGTGAATTACATAGAAAAAGTTCAGTTGTATCATTCCTAGAGACGGTCTCTAGAACAGCAAGAGACAGAAACCATGGTATATCTTGCAGATTGATCAGCAGGAGTATTCATAAGGGAAGGAAGAATGAATGAGGGATATTCGTCAGTGAATGACAAAAACTGACGTTTTGAAATTCCCCTTGGAGACACTAATGGAACTGATCGGGCAGATATTCATAAATGAACCTTGTAAAAATTTACCACCTCACTCAAATATTTAAGGTTCCGACGATTACCTGAGCAAGAGAAAGAAGTAGTATTACCGGCGCGTGACCAAGTGAAATTTAAGTTGGCGAAACCAAAACCCGCGGCTGAATTACCACCCGCCCAACACGTAGAAATTGAAAAGGAAAAAGCGAAATTAGCCTCTGTGAAACAAAAACCGGAAGCACCCAAGCAGGTATAAATTTTTACGTGAAGTTTAATTTGTCTGCATTAAATTTATAGTATACAGATTCAATTGCAATTCATGGTTTCTGTATTTCCAGGCAGAAGTGCCAGCAAAAGATCAGGTAAAGATAAAACAGAAATTCCAACCGAAAGTAATGAAACCGTCGGAAGCATCAGTTATTGAGAGTGGTCCTCTGAAAGAAACACCTGCTGTTGTCAAAGGGTTCGCTGTTTCTTTTTCTTCGGCTTTCTGTTAGACCTTCCGGGCTTTGCTGCTTCGCGCCATAGGTGTACTGGGTTCTTCGTAAGTTGTAAAATTCTGCTAATGGTTGCTCGGGAACGGATGGATATATAAACAGTTTTTGTATATTTTATAAACCCCCATTTTAAAAGCGTTTCATATCTACCATCTAGTTATCGTGAATTAAAACTGCTATAGAAAGTCATATGACATTCACATGTTTTTTTAATGGCGCGCTTTTAAGCCTTATGAAAAATAGACATCTGATACCTCTCTTTATGTTTAATTACATTCAACTGCAAAAAAATGCCTGCTTAGTTAACCATTTCCATTATTTGAGATTAAATTAAAAAAGGAGCAGCAAAGATCGATATTCTGTGACTCATTTTACTTTTAGAATTTTAGAGCACTGTATTCATTTTAATTTCATCCAATTTTGCAGGAAGATTGCGGAATCAACAATACCGTCGAAAGTAAGTTGGATTTCCTTGCACTCCTTTTTGCATGGTTTCCGTACCATCCTGAAAGCAATAACTTTTGTGTGGTTTTCGTTCTTATTTATACGTCTTTCTATTACCAAATTATACTAGTGTTTCCTGAAGCCACATTTTTATCTTCTTTTTTTTTCCAAAGAGTTGCATGGTTTGTAGTACAAACATCCGGTTAATATCTTTTTATAGCATTGAAAATATTTTAAATTTCATATGGAAATAGCTTTCTTTTTCTCCCAAAGTTTATAAAAGATAAGTAATGCAAGAGACTCTATTTATTGCGTCATACCTTCTGAAAGTTAGGAAAGTCTGTAATATTATTTTTTAAATTTTTTATGTGGTATGGTCATAATCATTCATGAGTCTTTATTAGAACTAATGTTTAGAAAGTAATTATTATTGCTTCCATTAACAACTGTTTAAAATTACTTTAGCATTCTGTACTATATCAAATTTGCCGTGAACGTTCTGAGCATGCAGTTGGAATGAACTTAGCAGAACAAGAAGATCTGATATCCGAAGAATATGCGAAACCTAAAGAGTACAATTATGCCAATCGGATCCGAGAACGAGTCTTGGGTTTTCGTATTCTTCGACGTGTTGTTGTCAGCACTTTTTATTTGAATTTTTTACTAAACCAAATATTTTAACTATAAAAAATGCTTCTTTCAGTAACCTTCAGTGTGAGTTAATTGCTGTTTAATGATTTAACTCATCACCTAACCCGGCTTCCAAAAATTCATCTGGCCGCCTTAATGATTGCAGAAATGATAATGCTTGGATAATATGGAAGCATTTCGGGAGACATATTTCCATGTCTTTCCAAGCTTTAAACAATTATGGATTCTCGATCATTTTTTAACTGAAACTCCACTACCCAATCTGTTAACAACATAGCCAGACTTCGGATTGAATGAAGAGACGTCTGAAACCTACCAGCAGATAACCAGTGATTGGTTTGATGGCTGATATTAAAAGTTCATTCAAAAGGATCATGTTCCTGTCGATGTATAATTATACATCACACTTCGCACTGACTGGTCTTTCAGATTTTGTAAATCTGGTGGTTTAATGGCCTTTTGCGGAAGTCCATAATTTATATTCAATATTTTTAAGTTTTATTATGCGGAACAACAGCTAAATTTTTTGTTGTGCTTTGTACCAGTTTGTAGCTTTTTTGAATCTTCAAAATCACTGTTAAAAACATCGAATCAGCTGCTATCTTTATTGGATTTTTTGCGTTCTTCAGCCGCAACCAACTAAAATGGGGCAAACCCAGAAAACACCGCCACAAATTTCTCAGCAGCTGAAGCCAGTACAAGCTGAAATCGGACGTCAGGCACAGTTCAATGTGTTGTTTAGCGGCGATGAGCCCATTACAGTACAGTGGTTCCGAAATGGTAAAGAAATCAAATCAAGCTTCGAATTTCAGGTATCTGAAATTTTGGGTCACTTCAAATAGCTAAATTGAACCCTTTTGGAAACTAAAATAGAGTGAACAAAATGCTCGAATTTCTTTCTTTTTTTTTTGTTAAGAATTTTCACTCTGGAATCATTCAAAAGATTTTGAAAATTCTTGGTCTGGATTGAGATTATCGTAAGATTAATGACAGTTAAATTCGCTGACGTGGTCGCTAACATGACGCAAGCAGAACTTTATTTGGTAGACCCATTATCATGATTTTTTTTTTTAACCAGTATCCGTCTCACTGTAGCAGCAGCAGTATTTGTAAAAATATCCGATTCTTAAGCTTACTTTATATCATATCTTAGATCGATACTACGCCAAAAAGCTCAGCTTTGACCGTTGGGAAGCTGAAGGTAGACCACAGTGGTCAGTATATGTGTCGCGTAACGAATGTTGCGGGTACCCAGGAATCGATGGCTAATTTAGCGGTTGTTCCACAGATGGAACATGGAATAGCACCTAACTTCACACAGCGAATGGCTGATGTCCGCGTTCAACAAAATGCTTCGTCACAGTTCAAGTGCATTGTTACTGGCAATCCTGAACCGATTGCTAGCTGGTTCAAGGTGATTTTTCAGTTTTTCGCTGTGAATATTAGGCAATATCATTTTGGAAACAATATTAGTACTTGAAACTGTGTGCAAATGATTTGACGTCTAGAAATGAAGGTACTCTTTATTTTTTATAAGATTCTTTTCGATTGCTTTGGAAATAAACTTGATATGCCGTTTGAAAACTCTCGAAGCTGTAGGATGGCAAGCCACTGCCAAATGACGCGCGATATCAGATTATCAGCAATGGTAATGAACGTATGTTAATAATCTCTGATACATTACCGCAGCTTGCGGGTATTTACGAATGCGTTGTGAAGAATAGCGCTGGTGAATCTAGGTCAGCCTTCAAATATTTTATATATTACAGAACTTTTTTAAATTCATGATTTCAGCTTTAATTTCATCTTTTAGTGTCAGGTCTGAGATTTCTAATGCTTTTCTTCTTTATTTATTTCCAAGATTGAATCATTTTCTTCTGTTATTCGTTTTATGTATGTGCTCGTTATTTTTGATTCCTAAACTGAACTAGATTAAGGTGTGATAAGTGTGGAAAATTTTCCGTGTCATAGAGAAATAGATAGTTCTTACGTGTTGTTGGACTTCAGAAACTTGAATAAGAAATTGTTGGAGTGTTTTTTTTTTCTTTCTATAACTGACTACACTTGTTAGTATCAGGTCTTTGAATTTTCTTATTAAGAATCTAGAAGATTTGTTCCAGATGTAAAGCTCGTCTTAATGTTATACTGGCAAGAACTGGTAAAGACGCTGAAGTTGGACCTCGACTAGAAGCACCTCGATTCCAGTCCCAAATACAACCTTCTGTAGTTGCTGAAGGTGCATCCGCTGAATTCAGAGCAAAGTATACTGGTTCTCCTGGTATCATTTCTTTTGTATTTATTCATTTTCAACTTTTGCAAAATTCATTTAGTTTTAAGGAAGACCAAATTATGACCATATAAATGTATTCATCCATCAAATAACGGCCTTTGATAATCGTTTATCGTTGTCGTTTAAGAACCAATGATTCGATGGTATCGCAATAATGAGCCAATCAAAAAGACTAAACATTTCGAAATAGGCCAAGGTAAGGGTGAGGCTGTACTGCGCATCACAAAGTGTTATCAGGATGATGTGGCGGAATATAAGTGTGAAGCAACGAATCCAGCTGGTAAAGCAACGAGCGTCGCCAACTTGCTTTTACAGCGTAAGTACTCATACTATTTCTTTTGATACTAAATTAAGAGATTAGCTGTACAGGGGATTAAAATAATGTATTTGTTTGCAGCAAAAAGTGGTATTATTACGCGAACGACGACTGCAGCATCTTCTTCTGCAGCTGGAGAAGTACCGAGTAGTACTGTTACTGAGAGCACTCAAATGAGGAAAAAAGCTCCTTCTTCTGGTGCACCGCAATTTATTTTAAAACTTTCGGATATAACCGCTCGAACAGGTGAAATTAAGATGATTATCCTGAGGAAACATTAAAACAACCAGCTAGAATGATTTTTCATTTTCTTTTGTTCCATTTTCATATCTCTAAGATTTTCACATTAGTGTCATTCGTGTTACCTGATTTAAAGAAGGATTTTTCATTGTCTTAACTACGGTTTTTTTTTCCACCAGGACATACGGTAAAGTTCGTTGCCGAAATATCAGGTAACCCACAACCGACCGTCGCATGGCAATTTAATGGAAAACCCCTTTATGATGGACAGAATCATAAGGCTAGTTTTTCCATTAAATTTTTATGTTTATCATTCTGTCTGTTTAATTCTGCTTATATATTTTGATCTGCTTTAACTTTTCGGGACTTAACAAACTCATCAAGAAACTTGAATTTTGTGATAAAATAATTCGAAGACAATGTAATATATGTGACTTGAAATCACTGCAAGTCTTAAGCGTAACTGAAATAAGTTGGATACTCTTAAAAAAGTAAAGGAGCGATTAAAATCTATTAATTTTATTCAGTCCTGAGCGGAAAGTTTACATTCCAAGCTCTCACTGTCCTTTTTCACTATTGGGAGCGATTCAAACCATCAAATCACGGTCAAAGGCATAGAGAAATAAAGTAAAACAAAAGAAACAAATTAATGAAGTGCCGTACTTCTTAAACGATCATACGAATATAGAAAATGTAATATGGCGTGAAAATACGGGATTTACAGTTATGAGCTAGTGATATTCCTAAAATTTAGTGATATGTAAACACTGAGTGCTATAATGCTTTTTCAGATATCACTGATTGGTAATAAAGCAGTTCTGGAGTTACAACGAATTTCAGAAGCAGAAGCTGGAGATTATATCATAACAATTCGCAATCCCTTGGGCGCTGCCCAGAGTCAAGCAAAACTCAAAATCCAGTTCCGATAGAAGTATCTTATTTCACCGATTTTCGAATATCATCTTTTTTATGGTTGAATTTTTTGTAGTATTATAATGAATTACCTGAGTTTTCAGATATTCGAGTATTGATTTTTGATTGATTATTGTCCTAATTTCTGGGCACTCGTATTGTTTTTCTTTGTTTTGGTTTTCAATGTTTTTTCTTATGGACTGTTGTTCAGTTATGTTTTGCTTTTGTAGATTTAATTTTCCATATTAAATTTTGCGGTGAGAAATTTTTCTTTTATTGCTAAATTTATGTTGTGCATATTAATGCTGTACCAGTGCAATTATATCTACTTATATTGCCATTTGTAAGGCTGCCTTCAAATTTTGTGGCCTTTGTATACATGAATTTATACGTTACGGCCAGAAGTTATTTTGCAACATTGCCTTGCAGACTTTTTCAATAATTGTTTTGGTAAGCTGTATTGTCAGAAAGAATTAGGCTTTTGCCAGTATGTCTTTTATAGTTTCTGTTTAAAATTTCAACCAACTGTATTTTTACCTTACTTTTTTTGACTTTTTGCATTGGAGAGCAGTATTTCTGCTATTTTTTTACCTATCTAAATGAAAATAAATTCCTTGTAAAATTGTGTCTTATTGCAAATGAATGCTAAAAAGTCTTTGAATGAACTAATTCAATTCAAGCTAAAATATTTGTAAGCTACATCTGGTGTCCAAACTGACGGATATTACTTTCGAATAGTATCATCTTATGTTTTACAAGGTTACCAAGACTTTTATTTAAAAGATGAGCTGGAAAACTTGTTTTACTCTCTGTCAATAATGATTAAGACATGGTAATTATTCTCACACTTGCGTTCCTTTATTCCATATCGACACTATTCCATTGCATAATCAATAGTCAGTTCAGAAAAAAGTCAAGATTGATCACAAATGTCTGGATGGTAGTGTTATGCAAAAAAATTTAAATATTATACCAATATTTAATTTTAGACTTTGTTTCGTAGGATTGACATTTTTAATTTGTTTATATATTCCATGATTTTCCGAAATTAATTTTTCTTCAATTTCTCATTACCTTGATGAAATTTCCAAAACTTTGTTTATTTGTTTACAAAAAGAGTCAATTCATACCAAACGGGAAGTATCAGTAACGAAATGATCGAGAAAATCTCGTCATACGGATCTGTTACACAAAATATAATGACGATGTAGCTATGCTACTTCCAATTATTATCACAGTTCAAAATAACTGAATCTTTTTTTAGAAAGTCGTTTTATAGTTGAATTTTCTAAATTTCAGAAAGAATTTAAGTTCAAGAAAGTTCCTAAGTACTTGTGTTGACCTATGTAGATTGATAGATTGATTGAAATCTTTCTGAATCTAAGTAAGTTGAAATATCGAACATGCTTGCAAAATATGTTTAGAAAGTCATAACATGATAATAATGAATGACTCAAATTGTTCAACTTTCGAGGAAAATTCAAGAATTAAATTCTTTGTAAAACGATTTCATAACATATCTCTCTTTATAATCCATTTCGGAACACATTTTTCCTTTCCTTTGTTACCAAAATAAACTACTAAATTGACTGTTTTTTTTAAATGAAGCTTCGATCGGTCTCAGTTCTAAAGAGAACCAATGAGAAAACAACTGTTTCTTCAGCTAGTGATTAAGTGAGACATCCTACAAAAAAAAAAAAAAAAAAGTAGTTCCACAAGAGACTGAGAAGTTTCTAAATTCCTTCCACACATATTTCTTGGATCATTTGGTAGAAAAAAAAGCACAGAGTAGTTGTTATAAGAAGAAATAGCAAAATGACATTTGAAATTAGGCTTAATGATTGCGAATGAGCCAAGATCGAATGAGCCAAGCTAAAATTTATTGTTTGAACCTTTGGTTTTTATTCTGGAAAATTTGTATCTCATAACTTTGAAAACTTTGAAGCAATGATTGATAAAACTTTCTTAGATATTTCTTAGAATATTACCAAAGATTATTTCTCTTAAAGAAAAGAAACAAGAATGGATTCATTAAATGCAAAATTTAAAAAATGAGGTTAGAACTAATTTTTCCATTGCAGAAAAGTCTATTCATTAAAATTAGATACTGATAAATTGATTAATTTTTGTGATTTCTGATATATTTGTGAATCATACTTTCCCAATTACAAATATTTTCCTAATAAAAAATTAGAAAATTGACATTTTTGTTGCATCAAATTCCTGTAAAAGTGATGAAAATTTGGAAAATAATTTAAAAAATATGAAAATATTAAAAAGTAATGATATTAAATTGAATTTGAAGCATACAATTGTCACTTCCCTAAGCTTCATTAAGTTATGTGTTTGATTTTATTTATTTATTTTTCGTTACATTTGTTAGAATAAAGTTTGTTTGTTATATTCTATTTGATTTAATTTCTTAAAAATTTGTATTTTATCACTCATCGATGATATTTGGCTTGAAATTTACTTTTGTATGTAAATATGTAAATGCTAAAAATATCATTGCTTATTTAGAACAAAACTAAACACAACTACACTTCTTCCCATTGTTTACATACGTTTAATTTTAAACGTTAAATAACATTCTCGTCGTTCACGTACGTTTAATGCTATGTAAAACCACATTAAACAATACTCTTATTTCTCACGTACGTGGAGAGTATATCATCTCCGTAAGATGCGGTATGTGTGTGTGTGTGTGTGTGTGTGTGTGTGTATGTGTATGTGTATGTATGTGTGTATGTGTGTGTGTATGTGTGTATGTGTGTGTGTATGTGTGTATGTGTGTATCTGAGGATGGAACATGTTGCGGGAACGATTAATATGTGTATCATTTCATTTTTTTTGTGAATGTTAAGCTGAGAAGTTATCTTAGCAATAATGTAAAGAGAAGGAAACAATTGTGTAAGACTTTTTTTTTGTTGTTGTTGTTGAAATTGAAGTTTGAAGAAGGTTGAAGGGTAGCTTTTCAGTTGATAAACAACAAATCAACATTATCAGTCTAAAGGGAAGGAAGAGTTAAGCCCACGCCATGAAGTAGTTATTGCACAGATGAGAAGAGAAAGTTGATGATGATATGGTTACCAATCATTCTCTTCTCTCTCTCTCTC